TACTGAGCTACCTCCCAGTACAGCATTACCTCGGATTTGAGTCAGTAGTTTGGGGGCCTCCCAATAGCTTAGTTTGGCTAAGGGACTTACCTCAAAAGCCCACACGGACTCAGAGAGCCGCTTTCCCCACAGTTTTTTGGGGGCCACAAATGACCTAGATTAATAAAATCCCAGGTTTCCTGCCAATAAAGCCTCCCTGATGCAGCCATGTCCCTGAAGGGCCAGGCTTGCTCACCACCGCTAAATGGACAGTGGGCTGCTTAGAGAAACCCTTCAAGCTTAAGCCAGGGAGGTCAACTGTGCAGGCCAGCCACCTGGCTCAACAAGTTGTTTTCATGCCCACTCACTTGCTCAGGAGAAAAGAGAGGAGCTTCCTCCGGAGCAGAAACTGCTCCAGGCAGATCCGTGTTCCCCGGAGGCGGCAGCATTCCCAGCTGCACGGTGCCTCCATCCACGGGTGCAAAGACCAGCCTGCCCAAGCCAGGGCTCCACTCGGACACGAGCACGGGTCAGGGCTGCGGATGGAATAAAACGGCTCATTGCAAACCTGTTTGCACAAAGTGACATGCTAAAAGCCCCGAAAAGCCACTTTGCATCTTTCCACCCATGAAACCACCAGCCTGAGATCTTTCCAAACATCCATAACAGCTCCTGAAACTTTCCCGTTTCACTCTCTATATACAAAAACTCTTTGTTGGGTTGGGCTTTAGCAAGCTACCTTAAAAATGCAACGTAAATTTAAACAATTAATGATTCACAGCTCCCAGTAGGGAATCCAGTAATTAATATACGGCTTAATCTATGACTTCTGCTATCCTTATACAGCATGAGCACTTTGGCCTGCAGCCCCTTTGTTTTAATTGCTCTTGCTAAAGATAGAGTTCGTCTAATGCAAAATAATCTGGTGAATTCTGTGCCTCTATCGGGGCTAATGGACGGTTCGCAAGAGGAAGGAAAACAGCTCAACATGCTGAGGTGCTTGCTTGCATTCAAGGGAAAACAGAAAGGTTTGCTGAGAGTCCAAATAATATATTAAAATGAAATTAAATCCTATTAAAAACTAATTTTTATTGAAGATTATTTTTCTTGAGCACTTCATGGCTGCTCCTTTGTTAACATACAATTCTGAGGCGCAACCTGTTTGCATGCCAAATACTATCTTTCTTAAAGAGATAAAATACCATGCAACTCCTACGGTCTTTCTGGATAAAGACTATTTTTAGTCTTTGTTAGTTTTTGTGCATTTTACCCAGCCACCGAGTCCCACCACTGAGAAACTCCTCATGTCCCAGCTTCCTTGAGCCGCACGTAAGCAGCATTTCCTCCCTAAGAGCGGAGAGAAAGTCGACGTCCAGAGACAAAACTGCCATTCTGCAGTTAAATCACTTTTCCTCGGCTGCAAACTCTCATAAACACGGCGTCCGACAAAACCAGCAAAGTTTGGATTTGCAAAGGTCCCCTCGGGGATGCAGCGCTCGGCTCCCTTTGAACATCTGCTCGGTGCCTGCAAAAACCCCAGCCCCCAAATCCCTGCTGGGGGGCAACGAGGCCCTGCGCTCCCTTACAGGCCTGACTAACACGGCACAAAGTTTGCGGAGGCATCGCCCCTGCCCAGCTTCGGGGTTTGGTCCTCGCCCGGGACCCGACCCTTTCCCATCTGCCTTATCTGATCCGACCAGGCATCAGGAATATTCCTGTGGTGGGATAACTCAGTGCAGGGGGTTCGAGGGCAAACTTCTTGCTACCCGCGCCATTTCCACCCCTAATATAGTGTGCAGAAGGACACGGAAGGAAGCAGCCAGCCTGTTTAATCTCCGAATAAGATAACCTGAAGTGCTCAAGAGGTGTAAGCCACCAACACCTTCGCCTAAACAGAAATTCTCACTTTAACAAGAAAAAAAACTCCTGCGAGATTTGCCCTTTCAAATCTCATAAAGCCCACATTGTCACACAAGCTAAGGAAGCCCCACTCCTTAAATAGAGTAATTCTTGCCTAAGAAATAGAGTAATTCTTGCCTAAGAACATTAGCAGCATCCCAGAATGAGGAAGCGGATGTGTAAATTAAAAAGCAAAAAAAAAAAAAAAATCACATATACTCTGTTAATATCCTAATACCTATTACACACAATCTCTTTCAAAGTAGCTTTAAATGAGAAGTGTGGTTGTGCTTTGGTGCAGTTGCTAGAAACATAGAAGGCCAGAAAGCCCTCTATTAAAATTTCAAATAAAAAAAAAATAGTATTTCATAAAGACCCATAACACCAAGTTGTTAAAAACAGCACAGATTACTCCTCATTTTTGTTTATATTTTTCTTATTAAAGCAGAAATCAGGGGTACATCTGGGCCAACATCCCCTTGACACAGTGACATGGGCCACACAGGGATTTCTGGAAGAAAAGGCCTGGCCTGCCGCAGCCCCACATGTCCCAGTGCGTGGGGCAGCCTCCTTCAAAGCCATGGGGCAGAGCAGCACACAGCCCCTCACCTCTGCGTCACCACCTCGAGGGCTTCTTTGCCAAAAATGTCCTTTCTGGCCTCAAAATATTGCAAGTTCCTGCACACTTCAGCACAGGGTGCCTGGCCCATGTGGGGCCTGCAGGGATCATGCCCCAGTCTCCCACAAAGGTAAAGGTGCCTCCGTTTTCTTCAAAAACCCTTCAAACTGGCTATTTACAGCTCTTCCCCCGGCATCAAGCACAGGAGCATGCGCTCACCCCACACGCCACCTAATGTTCCTCCTCACAGGGGAAAAAAACAGACAAAAATAATAACAAATAAGGGAGATTAGGCAAATTACCCTTTCTTTAAAGGCAACGATGAGGCGGCTGCAGCAATAGGGCTGTGAGGGTGAGCTCAGACCAGGCGTGTGTGTGGTAAAACAGCCTTAAAAAAGGCTCGGCGGGAGGTTTTCCTTCTCCGCGGGGGCCAGACCCGCAGGAGGGGGTCACCTCTTTGCCCCTCTTTGCCCCCTCCATATGCAGCTATCACTGATTTTGCCCCTTTCCCTCAGTCTGGGAAAGCTGCCCACGACGTCGGGAGGGTGGCTTTCCCGGGCAGAGCCTGCTCGTCTCCACAGGCCGGTGGCTTTAAACAAAAGATATCAAAAGATAGATATTTTTATTTACCTCAAAAAAAAAAGTATATATATCTATCTCCTTATTTTTCACCGCAGAGAAAACCAGCACCTTCCCACCGATCCCCGTCCCTCCCCACCATGTGCGCGGCGCTGCCCCCCTCCCCTCCCCCGTGTCTCCAGGCGGGATTTTTATTATTATTATTGCTATTAGATTTTTTTTTCCTTCTTTTTTGCACTTCCACCGCA